TAATTTTGTCTTATTGCAATCAGTTTTCTTTAAAATTTCAATGTCCAAATCTTTACCTCAATCACTACAGTGCCAGACCAGTCAACAAAAAGTGCCATTGGCTAATGCTAAACAGTAAAGGGCAAAGGTCAACAGAATGCCATAGCAGTTTCAAGAGCAAAATTCCCTTTCCAGAAATTACAGTATTTTACCTTGATCAGCCTGCATCGGCCATTATCTTAGAAAGGGAAACAAAATGAATTTAAACCTATTTTAGACTTTGATTATACCATATAGTCTTGGTGTAGAAACTCTTCATAAAACCAGATGACAAACCAGATACTCACTGTGAGTTAAGGTCCCATATATATATCCATAACAAGGGAGTGGGCCTAATAACAAGCATGGGTTTCATCCTCATGGGAAAATACGGAAATCAAAATAAACAGATTAGATAGATGTTCAGAATATTAAACAGCGGAGCTCATTTAGCTCAGCCACCAAACTGTTCCTAGCTTAGATAGTAACTGGACAAATAGAAACAGTTGGATAAGGAGGACACATTTATAAAAAGCGTGAGAAAAGTGTCCTGCAGGAGAAGTGGGAATAAAGGGACAATACAGTAGTAATTTTGCAGCCAGTTTACCATTCATGCCAACCTTTGGATATGTCCAAAGGGGAGATATTCGTGCTCAAAACACAAACCATATATTTAAACACCTGCTAGGGACATACCATTAACCTGTGCTTGACAACTTTTTAAAATGTCTAGCGGGGGGGGGGGGATAAATTGTGTTTAGAATTAAAAGCATAAATAAAATGTATGTGTGTACACCCTAGGGAAAGAATAACACTGTAAGCTGGCATCATTTGAGCTGTTCTTTCAGATGAAATCATCAGATCTTAGAAAATAAGATAATTTTAGCAAATTCACTGGTTGAAATTGAGCAATTTCAGGGTCCATAATCAGAAGTCTCACTCCAAAATAGGGAGAGTTGGCAAGTATGTAAAACCCTTTAAAATGACATGTTTTGAGTCGTTCTTTCAGGTGTAACCATTAGATTTTATATATTGGAATAGTTTAGCAACTTCACTGATTGGAAATATTAGACTTAAGGGTCAAAATCGGGAATTTCCCTCCTAAATAGGGAGAGTTGGCAAGTAGGGATTATTTGAAGGCCTGGCTGTAAATATAGAGATAAGAAAATATCTAATTTAAAAATATTAGATAAAAACTCAAATATCACCATCTAGTTAGCTTTGATAATCCATTAAAAATCATCTTCATGACAATATCGGAGACGTGAAATCTGCTGGTATTATCATCAGACATGTAATATATCAAAAGTTGGTCTCATCCTTTCATTGCCATATTTAATCATGTAATAAATCCTTCTTAAAAAAAATACAAAAATCCTTATAAGACACATTTCTCCATCTTTGAAAGCACAAGTCATCAATTATGTAAGTTAATTGAATCCCTGTGTAGCAATTTAATCTTTGATCAATAAAATGTGACAACTTTCTTCTATGTGGTTTAACTATTGAAGTAGGTCCGGATACAGGCAGGAGAAAGACGATATACAGGCTTTCAGTTCAAAGTAATACCTGCAGGAATGATCAATGCTTTTCTGCTTTTTGTTATTCTGTATTCTTTTAATTTTCGGAAAAAGTGCAAACTTCAAATCCTGTCAGATTCTATATTTGGGGGCATTTTTAATTGGCCATTTTTTTTTAAATTTATGTCTTTGTTCCTTTTAAGGTTTTACGTCGGCTAAGAAAAAATGGATCTGTTTTTTATTTGGGTTCAGTATCCTCGCATAAGTATCAGATGAAGACAGATGTGTAGTGGGTACAGGAAAAACATGTCGTTTAAATTTAATATTTTAATATCGTAAAAAAATAAACAGAAAAGCAAGAAAATGTCTGTTAGACTTGAACGGCCCCTTTTGTAGAAACTTTAACAGCACCAGTGGCCTTGATGTTGACCTTAGGACCTAGGACCTTGAAACACAACTTTGTCCAAGGTGTTCTCATACTGACATTTGCATAAGCCGAAGATGAGTTAATGTAAACAGTTGTTAGATTCATGACAATGAATCAAACAACAATGGATGGGACGCAGGATGGGACGCACATGACATGGGTAAACAATAAATTATCCCCCCTGACACACACACACACCGAAAAAAAAAAGATGAGAACATCAAAAGAAATCCAAGGACATGAAACAGGTTGCAACAGCACAAATCCAAAAGAATATGACAGGATGACAAACACTATAAAATGGCTAAAATTGCAGGGGCCGCCACATTAATATGCCAAATATCAATGGTAAACAGTATAGGTCTGTCCTTCCAAAGGTTATACTGAAGCCTTTGATTGTCATTCTATGTGCTGCACTTGTAAGCTGAGTTCCGTGCAGAATCGGAAACAGAACCATTAAGATAAACCATTTCTTGAAACATTGGCAGATGTATTGGGAATTAAGGCATGTTAAAGACAAGATGTTGTTGAATGTTTATTGATCATTCAATAGTTTATTATTTAGTTTACGATTTTTTTTTCTTATACCCTGTTTAACCATTCAAATCAATAACAGATCAAAAAACCTTTCAGGTCTTCAGATAAATCCGTTTGACAATAACGGTCCCGCTGGAAGCTCTCAGACTGTTGTGCTTAACAAGCCGTTAAATTTTCATAGAATCAGACACATTGGACATAATGGATAAAACATATCATGTGCATTCCAAAGATTTATTCGTACTGTTTAATAGCTTGTGTCAGACACCACAAGGCTTTGAAACACCAGTAATCAACTCTAATGCATTCTCAGCCTTGTTCTGTGTTGGTGCCGACTTCTTCTTTGGGTAATGAACATAAAAAGTGACATGTTATCTATGTTAGACCCGTTTTAGGGTTTTGCATGATATGACCAATGTGTTCAACAGATACTTAAGATCAGTCATGCGTCTGACAGAAAACTATCTGCAACATTTCCGGTCATCCATAGGAATGCGAATTCAGGCTGTGTTTGTCGCTCGGAGATGTCAGGTTTGGTTTGATACAAAGAGCAACATGCATGAAAATGTATCTAAATGGGGATAAACAGACTATAATGGGTGCTGAGACTTTAATTAAGGCAAAGTAACATTATGATATACGCGTTGACAGCTGGGAAAGATATTGTTGTATATATATATGATACAATGTTGACCTTTGGGGTACTCAGGTGTTGACCTTGGGGTAGGTGTTGACATAGGGTTTAGGTTGTTGACAGGGTGGATAAACATATGAGGTATATGTTGACATTAGAATAGGTGTTGACATCAATGTAGATTTGATATCATAAAACGTGTTGACTTAACCCTTTCACCACTGTAGACCATAATGGACTCATCCAGATCAATGCATGGTAGAGTCTATTAAAGTTACATAGGGGTGAGAGGGTTCAGGGCAGATTTTGATTTCAGGTCATATTTTAACATTGAGGTAGTTGTTGACATAGGGTATACTGTAAAAGAGGAAATGTTCGCCTGTGGAAACGTATGTTTACGCTGCAACTATTTAAACAGTTTGCGATGTGGAAATTTTCATCTGGGCATTATGGTTACGAAATCAATATGTTCTATGGATGTATAATCTAATTAATCTATTAATAACTATTTTCAGACTTGTTGTGTTCAACGAGAAAAACACAAATGTTTCCATACCTAGAAAATGTCCACATTTACAGCATGTTAACATCGGGTTCAACGTTGACATTGGCGCAGGTGATGACATAAGACTTGGCATCAGAGTTTACCAATATAAAATCACACCTGTCTGTATACCTGACAGTGTGTAAGAGGTCCTTCACATGTTGATTGGTTCAATTTTATACACCTTAAGTAGTGTCCACTTACCTTGAGATGTTCCGTTGCTAACCAGTGTCCACCTACCTTGAGATGTTACGTTGCTAACCAGTTTTGACCTACCTTGAGATGCTCCGTTGCTAACCAGTGTCGACCTACCTTGAAATGTTCCATTGCTAACCAGTGTCGCCCTACCTTGAGATGTTCCATTGCTAAGTAGTGTCCACTTACCTTGAGATGTTCCGTTGCTAAGCAGTGTTAACCTACCTTGAGATGTTCCGTTGATAACCAGTGTCCACCTACCTTGAGATGTTCCGTTGCTAAGCAGTGTGGACCTACCTTGAGATGTTACGTTGCTAAGCAGTGTTGACCTACCTTGAGGTGTTCCGTTGCTAAGCAGTGTCGACCTACCTTGAGATGTTACGTTGCTAAGCAGTTTTGACCTACCTTGAGATGTTCCGTTGCTAACCAGTGTCGACCTTCCTTGAGATGTTCCGTTGCTAACCAGTGTCGACCTACCTTGAGATGTTCCATTGCTAACCAGTGTCGACCTACCTTGAGATGTTCCATTGCTAACCAGTGTTGACCTACCTTGAGATGTTACGTTGCTAAGCAGTGTTGACCTACCTTGAGATGTTCCGTTGCTAAGCAGTGTCGACCTACCTTGAGATGTTACGTTGCTAAGCAGTGTTGACCTACCTTGAGATGTTCCGTTGCTAACCAGTGTCCACCTACCTTGAGATGTTCCGTTGCTAAGCAGTGTCGACCTACCTTGAGATGTTACGTTGCTAAGCAGTGTTGACCTACCTTGAGATGTTCCGTTGCTAAGCAGTGTCGACCTACCTTGAGATGTTACGTTGCTAAGCAGTGTTGACCTACCTTGAGATGTTCCGTTGCTAAGCAGTGTCGACCTACCTTGAGATGTTACGTTGCTAAGCAGTGTTGACCTACCTTGAGATGTTCCGTTGCTAAGCAGTGTCGACCTACCTTGAGATGTTACGTTGCTAACCAGTGTCGACCTGCCTTGAGATGTTCCGTTGCTAACCAGTGTCGACCTACCTTGAAATGTTCCATTGCTAACCAATGTCGACCTACCTTGAGATGCTCCATTGCTAACCAGTGTCCACCTACCTTGAGATGTTCCATTGCTAACCAGTGTCGACCTACCTTGAGATGTTCCGTTGGCGGAGATGTTGTCGTTTTGATGGACACCGTCAGTGGCTACGTGTCGCTGTAGGTTCTTCCATCTTGTGTCCTGTGTTGGGTCAATCCTGCACACCTGTAATATACACAAACAGTCACCTGTACAGTTGTCCCATCTCTGTATATGGTAATATATTCATGAATTCATAATTGACATGCAGGAGAGGAAAGAGTATCATGGTCTGAATAGGATTTGAAACCAGGCTATTGACATCATTCAGTTTTGCTACATTCCTCCTTCATTTTTCTTAGTCTATACCACCAAATACAATACTATTTACAATCAAGGTACGTCACCCCTTTGCCAAGCGTATACACAGTACTTGAAACAAGGTTTGATCAATTTTGGCATCTGCCTCTAACAGGAGAGGTAAAATGCACTGCCAGACCGGGATTCGAGCCCCAAACCTCCAAACTCTATACAGACACTCTAACCAAATGTGCTTTCTGGTCACCGGCCATTGACACAGTTCAGTTCTGTTATAGATATCTTAATAATCAAAGGTACATTACGTGACAATTTCTAAGAAAAACATTAGGTTAAATACCCTAGATCTGATTTGGTATTTTTGCCATCTCCGAGAGTATGCGATACTACACTTGTCAGCAGTCACTATGCCCATGCACAATTCAGCCAACAGAAAAAGAAGAGTGCTGCCAAGACTTATGTCCCTTGCAATAGGGGGTTATTGTCACGACTTCTTATTTCCTTTTGATTTTTGTCGTCTGCCATGGCGTCTGAACAATCACAATTAGGAAGGGAAAATCCCAAAGACTTTTGCAGTAGTAAAACATAGTAATAATTAAGAGGAAACAAAGTAATTAGCTTAAGAAATTACTGTTTTAGAGTGATTTGAACAGATTACTGGCCGTGTTCTAAATAAATGCCAATGCCAGAAGCAAACAAGCAATGATCTATTGCAACAGTTGACGGACCCTCGTCACACGAGGTTCAGAGAGTTTTGTCCTGTGCTGTACTAATCAGTTTTTATGTCTCTTCCCCTCTGGTACAGTTCTATCATAAAACTGCTTCCTCAGGAAAGGGTCGTAAAATGTTAATTGTACATCAAACCCATTACCACAATGAATATTTTCTTACCCTGGACAGGGATATCCACCATTTTACCGGAGTGAGATTTTCTTATCTCTTACCCTGGACAGGGATATCCACCATTTTACCGGTGTGAGATTTTCTTATCTCCCCCTAGGGTTGAGACAAGCTGTACGTGTTCTTTGCACGTTCTCAACAATTGTACGACGTCATAGCAACAATACCATGACGTTACGGCAACAATACAATGACGTCATGTTGTCAATTCAGCCGCATCAAATCAACATTGTCTTGCATTGATGTAATGTCTATATAAAATACATAAGAGGGTAAACAGGGTAAGAGAAAATAATCATTCACCCCCTTGGGAGTGAGACAGGGTTACCTCGGGGTAATATTCTTAAGCTGTCAAACACTCGGCAAGCCTCGTGTTTGACAACTGAAGAATATTACCCCTGGGGTTGAGATTACCCTGTGTCACCCCCAAGGGGGTGAAAGATTCTATTATTCTCGCACCTCAGACAGAGATATCCCACGTTTATATCGCATGCTATGTATTCATCCGCACGTTAACTGCTTGAAATTGACAATTTGTAGTATAAATGTTCTGTTTTGTCGTTATATGTATAGTTTTGATGTTGTTAGATATTTGATGTTGTGAATAAAATATAATCTTCACTTTGAAATACGCTGTAATCTATGTAAGGACAGACTACATTTTACGCAGGAGCATTCAAATGTAGCTTTAGTAGTGCAGAGGTAATTATCATTTGGGGCCCAAGGCGGGATACTTGTTGTTTTTAGCAAAATTGAAAAGTTCTTTTTCGAACTAAAAGATGCGAGAAAAAAATCAATAACCTGTAACTGAATGAGATCAGGTTATCTCGGCTAAGAATATGTAACATCCCAACCTCGGCTTACGCCTCGGTTGGGATTTTGTTACAGAATCTTAACCCTCAACTGAGATAACCGGATCTTGCTCAGTTACAGGTAAAAGATTTTATTAACCTAGAACTGAAAGTCAGAGGCTAATCAGTGTCCTACCTTTTTACATTAAACACAACCCCAATGAGCCTGCATCGCTCGCCTGGCATTAATCTCACACATGTAACCTTAAAAGTGATCTAAAATAAAGCTACAGGCAAAATATCAGTATTTATGACTATAGGTCATTCAAAAGAACCTGTTAAAAGATTTAAAACATTTGACCCCTGTGACCTTGAAGTTTAACAAGGTCATTACGTTGAACAAACTTTATAGTCCTTTATCTCAGCATGCAACTTGCCAAATATCACCACCCTAGCCCTTTAGTTTAATGAGATTAGGTCATTTAAAGGTTTTTACATATTTGACCAAATGTGACCTTGAAAGTGGGTCAAGGTCATTCAAATGACTTGATAGCCTTTCATCAAAGCATGCTACTGGTCAAGTTTCAGAAGAAGTCATTTAAATATTTTCAACAAAATTGACCCTTGTGACCTTGAATATAAGTCAAGATTATTCATTTTAACAAACTTGGAAGCCCCTTACTCTAGCATGCTATTGGGCATATATCATCATCCTCAGGGCCTTTTGGTTATTCAGAAGAAGTTGTTTAAAGATTTTGAACATATTTGATCCCTGTGACCTTGAATAAAGTTGAGGTCATTCCTTTGAACAAAATTAGTAGCCCTTTATCCCAGCATGTAAGGGGCTAAATCTCATTCTGGGCCTATTGGTTATTCAGAAGAAGTTGTTTAGAGATTTTAAAAATATCCTGTGACCTTGAATATAAGTCAAGGTCATTCATTTTAACAAACTTGGTAGCCCTTCATCCTAGTATGCTACTGGCAAGATATCATTATCCTGGTCCTTATGGTTATTCAGAAGAAGTTGTTTAAAGGTATTTTTAGACAATTGACCCCTGTGACCTTGAATATGACTGAAGGTCATTCATTTGAACACACTTGGTAGCCCTTCATCCCAGCATGGTACTGGCCAAATATCCTCATCCTGGACATTTTGGTTATTAAGAAGAAGTTGTTTAAAGATTTTAACATATTTGACCCATGTGACCTTGAAAATGGGTTAAGGTCATTTATCTGAACAAACTTGGTAGCCCTTCATCCCAGTTTGCTTCTTGCGAAATATCATCATCCTTAGCATACTTATGGTTATTAAAAACAATTGGTTTTAAAGTAAAATCTTGGCGTCGGACACCAAACGGACACTGGACATATTTTACCATATACATTCAAACTTCTATAAATGAATTCACCCTCAAATTCATATTAAATATCGGAAAGATTTTTGGCATCTTGTTCTAAAATGAGTTTCAGAGTGAAAAATAAAATGGGTTGTTGGCATCTTGTTCTAGGGTAAGAAGGGTGAAAAATATAATTGGGGCAACATTTTTCTTTCCAATTTCACAGTTGTTTCATTCTTTAGCCGCCTTCAAAGCTATACTCGTAGCTATGATCACGATCTCATCACAGATCCATGGTGACCTGTCAGGCACCTAATCCTAACTTTAGCCGTTATGCCATCTCAGACCCACTGTGAACAGCCAGCACTTTATACATGAGTTGATGGTTGTGGAAGATCCACTCCGACCTCAAGTCACCCTGGTGACAATCGTCAAACTATAATGACATTCACTTCAATTAAAATGTCATTTGTAAGCCGAAACCTATCACAAACTCATGTCATTGTTATAATACGACCTCATCACAGCTCCAGGGGTAATCTGAAGAAAATACTTCAGGTCCAAGCTGGCACGATTTGATATTGATGGTTTGTGCAACAGCTATAGAATGTTTCACAGTCGTAAACTGGATTAAATGTGATCTCCACGGTCATAGCTGCACTACACTTGCCGTCACTAGTGCCCCTCTTCTTGTTTGTACGTAGCATTAGCTATCAAATACAATGGCTATGGGTTGGGGATTTCAACCATTCCAAAGCTATGACTAAAGAATTAAGTCCCTTAGGGGTTAGGGCCACACCCCAGGATCAATTCTTATCTCATGATTGTTTCTTGGATGCTCAGCAATTGTATATTTGGTTAAAGGGTGGGGATCTAGATAAAGTCAAAATAAAAAATTCGTTTTGGCCCTGCCCCTCCGATCTGTGGGTCAGACCTTAGTCTGGTAATATTGAATTTTTACCACCTAAAGATGCTTCCAACCAAATATGATTGATATCCTTGTCTTAGTTTCAGATTAGAAGTCGCCTAAAGCAAATATATGGCCAAATTACCCCTTTTTCGACCCCTGGTCCCTCAGCCCCCGGGAAGGGACCAGCTAATAAAAAGAAAACATTGAGTTACCTATGTTATTCAATTTATAGAATCATGTCATATTTTTGCATATTTATTCTTGCAATACCACTACAGGAACAATAGGACGAGTAATAGACGTCATAGAGTTTCACATTAAATTATACCTTCTGAATGCAGACAACAAAATTTATTTTAAGTCAAGATGGCAAATTTTTATTTTTGCAATATTTGTAAGAATTCCTGATCATGTGATAAAAAAGAGACCTTATATCTGTTCCCTGGTTTCCATAAAGGACAGATGAAAAAAATGTCACAGTTTTTTTCAGTTATTTCACGAGAGATTCAATAAGAAAAAAAAATCCTTATACTTATTTCATCAATCTCATATAGAATATAATCTTTAACTCATTTAAAACTCCTACATATTTAAGCTGGACTTGCCCGGACTTTGATTTGGGAAGGTTCAAATGTGACTTTAGGGGTGAATGGGTTAAATTTCTTCAAACAAACATTGATTTCCACAGAAGTATTTTTTACTATAAGTACATCAAGTCACAGCTACCAAAAACTTTCTTTATTCTAAATTCCTGAGAGACTTCTCAAAACCGCCATTTCACTCATTCACGCCTGAAATTTCATAATGAACTATTCAAACCTAAAATTCAATTGGAGGATTTCAAATGTGTCTTCAGGGGTGAATGAGTTAAGGGTCCCCTTATGAACAAGAGATGCCGATAGTTTTGCAATCTTGCAGGGTTCAAATCAG